TTGACAATAATCTAAGGATAAAGGAACTAAACATTCTAAAAAGTATGCTAAAAGTTATAAAATCAGTTAAACAATGTAACAACAGAACAAGCATATCTAAAACATATGGTCACCCCATGTAATTGAAGTCTTTAACTTTTCGGGTATATTAAAGTTACATTTTTTTTAGATTACGGTACAGTTATAATGGAAAAAATAGAGATACAGCCATTTATACCTTCTATGACATTACTTTATTGTTGTATTGCGCGTTACCTATGTCAATTATTACAAAGTGCATACATGTACATGATTCTTACGCATGGTAATTAATATAAAAAAATCAGTAAGACAATATCAAATATCACGTAGAAGGATCCGCACATGCTCGTGAATAATTCAAATTATGTGGTCCCTGTTATAATTTGCAACCTTTATTTTCGTTGGATTGATTAATTAAAACCTTTAATCACTTCTCTTCTAAGTATATCAAGTAAAGCTTTCTTTATTAAAAGAAAAGTTAGCTTTATGCGACAAAATCTAATAATTTCAGTTGTGTCATCTAAAAATTATAGAGACATGAACTCAAGCAAGTTTAAATTACAAAAGAGAAATTTGAATTACTAAATCACGATTCAGACTGAAACCTAAATATTTGAACAGACAAATAATTATAGATTATCCTTTTAGCCTCGTTATGTGCGGCAATGGTTTTGAGCAATGAAATTTTTTAAATTCATCTATATTGGATGGAAGAGTAGTCTATATGGCAATTACAACGTGTGATCAAAATAATATAGTTATTTCTACAATTTCATACCCGAAGTTGACTCCAAGCATGAAAATCTCATAACCATAGTGATATATATACAAAAACAACACAATAACCACTTATAATAGAACTAAACAAAGATTAAATAGACAAAATAAAAAATATAAAAAGCATAGAAACAGAAAGATACTATAAAAAAATTACAAATAAATTCTATTTTTCTACGTTGATCTCCATAAATTTAAGAATTTATTTTTGTATCTGTTTTCCTATTAAAGATAAAAACTTTAAGATGACTTAAAACATTAGTTCCTTAATATACCTTAATTTCTCCAAAAGGAACAAAAATACTTCTTAATTTTGTATTCCAACATCTTAAAAATATGATGTGGCTGCAAGAACGTCGATCGATCTATCAGCTTTATTGAAAATGGCAACACCTAAAAACTAAATAATAGGAGATCAAAAGTAGTCGCAACAAACAAAAAAAAATTAAAATGGGAAGAGCATGCTTGTTCACCAGTGAGGACGTTATCGTTTCTGTATCTATATAAATTTGCAAACATATAAAGATTGAAAAAGTTAATAACTTTTGTGCTATAAAATTTTTTAGAACAAAGGATGTTGATTTCTTCATTGACTTCTTAAGGTCCATGTTCTCTTTAATGAGTAGGACCGATTCCAATTAAATTCTAACACATTATTTCCTTATCGTTCTCAAATTCGATTAATACACAACTTCTATCACCAAGTGAATTTCTTTTGGTCTCGTTCAGCCGTGAGAGACATGGATTAGTTTGATGTGGGGTGATTAATAAGTCCAAATCATTAAATCCACAAAGAATTATACCCAATATTAACTTTGTAGGGTCCACCTTTAGGTGATTTACTATTACATTCTTAAATTATATAAATATTTAAGGGCATTTAGGTCGATCAATGTTACAGGAATATTTTAGTCGTTCAGCATTTAGCATAAATTATTCGTATTTTTATAATATATATATATAGAGATAGATAAGTTTGGATTTATGGTCTTTTTTTGAGAGGTGGACTTAAAGGCCCACGTTACTTTATTAGAGATAGAACTAATGGTAAAAATAAACTTTTGATTAAAAGTATATAAAATATTTCAAATTATGTAAATTCCATATATATAATTATAGAAATTGTATTTATTATTTGTCGATTTGGCTTGATATTTTTTTTTTATTAACGAAACTAAATCAAATAAAACAATCAGTTTATTTAATCAATTTTTCATTGAACTATGAACACATATAATCCCAACTTACTTTACCTTTTTTTCTGTGGCTTATTTTGGTGTTAGCTAATTTGCTACCCGAAATTTAATAATTCTACCAAGAAGTTTTTCACTTATGGTATTCAATCTCGAAACGGTTGGGTAAGGGTGGAGAGATTCTAACTATTCCACTGCACCCTTTTGTGTGACTATCTATAATATTTTACTTTCATATTCATTAAATTTCTTACAATCTATCTATCTATCCATCTATCTATCTATCTGTTTATATATTTATATTATTCTAAAAGTGTAAAACCCCATCGTAAATGGTTCAACCACTATTTTTCTATCAAAAGTTGAGTGAGTATTTTACAACAACAACAAATACAGTGTATTTTCATACGTGGGGCCTGAAGAGGGTTGTGTGTATGATTCCAATATACCCTCAGCTCAGAAGAACACGAAGAAGAATGAGAAGAAGAAAAAAATGAGGAAAAAGAAAGAAGAAGAAGATAGAAGAAGAAGAAAAGGAAGGGGGAAAAAATAGTACCAAATAGTAATAACATGGAAATACGATAACTGAAGCGAACTAAACAACATGACGTAATATAAAACTAAGAATATGAAGGGAAATGAGTGTTACTAGTACTACAGGTAAGAAAATGAGAAACTATCAACTATTTACTAACCTTCTACCCTAATACCTGACCTCAACACCTTCTTATTAAGGATCATGTCCTCAGTAAGGTCGAGTAGCACCATATCCTACCTAATCTCCTCTCCCAGTACTTCTTTGGCTTATCTCGACCTCTTCTCAAACCCGCCATGGTCAACCTCTCACACCTCCTAACATGAGCATTAATGTTTCTCCTCTTACCATGCCTGAACCATCTTAGCCTCGACTCCCGCATTTTGTCCTCCACGGAGGCCACTCCCACTTTGTCCCGAATAACTTCATTTGCAATCTTATCTCTCTTGGTACAGTCAATCATCCATCTCAATATCCTCATCTCAGCTACTTTCATCTTCTGCACGTGGAAGTTCTTGACTAGCAAGTACTCAATTCCATACAACATAGTAGGCCAGACCACCACTCTATAAATACCTTTCACTTAAATACTAGTACTTATTTAAAGGTACGCATTACATATTGAGTAAGTGCCGCCAGAGCCCAGATTCAGACATAGGTCTGAAGTTAGGCTTTGGCGGAGAAAATTTAAGTACGACTATTTGTGCAGTTGTTCCAAACTTTAGACCTCATATATGACTTGAAATGTGTTCAAACTCAGTTCAAATTCAAACGCGAGGACTAAATTTAGAAATTTTACTTGCGATTTCAACTTTAAACAGAGATGATTAAACTTTAATATATACTATATTAAACGCACGAAGGTCCTTAGCGAAATGTCGTTCGCCTTTTTTTATCCTTTAAAAATAGAGGTTACACTGGATAATATAGTCATTTAATTATTTCCCTAATATTTAGCACTTTCAAGTTAACTAAAATTTTGTTTATTAAAGTTTACCTTATTTAAACTACTACATAGGAAATCCAAATATTTAGGATATCAAAATAAATCAAATTGATCAAACTATTTATAGAAACTAATTAGAAACGTACATAGTATCAGATTTCATTTATGGTTCCATGAAATGCATACTTTTCTCCCAAATTAAAGTATAGTCTATATAATTATTTTCTTGAAAAATATACTTATGTTATTAAAGTGTAATCTATATTTTGACTACCTATAATCTTCAACCCATTCTGACCATTTAAAGTTATGAAAATCACGAAAAATTTAAAAACCAAATTTTAACATAATGCGAGTGAAATATATGAAAAAGTAATAAATAAATAAATAAATAAATAAATATATAGCTCTTTATTGTTTGGAAACAACATAAACATAATCATTGGAAACAATTACTGTAGTATTACAATTGTAGAATTTTAAATTAGTTAAAACTTTGATTATTAAATATTTTTTATTTGAATTATGTAAAAAAAATCCAATAATTAAAAGTTTAAATCAATAAAGATTTTACCTTAAATAAATTCTTTCCGCATTTGGACTATGCAACATAGCTATAACATATTGCGTGTTAATCTTAATAACAAAACTTTAAAATTCACTTAAATTGTATCTATTGAATTTTTGTATAATATTTAAAAATTACGCTCAGTAATTATTTCAACTTGCAGAATCATAAAGAAAAATGTATTCTAAATGAGTAGAATTTACACAATAATGGCAGAATATCATACACTCAATAATTATTTTTCTATTAATATTTGCAGACTTGAAGCAATAAGAATGAAATAGTAAAACAAAGAATATATTCTAAATGAGCTATCATTAATTATTTTCTTTTTTTCATAAATATTCCTACAAAGGACAGCTCCCTATATTATTATATATTATGTTATTTGTTATAAATTATTAATTAAATATTAGTCAACTGTTAAGTTTATAATGCCACTTATCAATTTGTATTATTTGAATTTTTTTCGTAATAAAAGTATTTTTACTTGTTTGTTTCTATATTAGGAAAATAATTAACAATAATTTTTATAAGTTATTCTTATTATTCTTTGAAGATTTTCTTTTACAGGGTTTCATCCTATATTTTGCCTGTTAAATGGGATCAACATTTATATTTGCAGAAAGTTATCTAATTTTTTTTTAGAATTCAATTATATTATTTAATAATATTAATTTATGTAATTTAAAAAAAATATTTATTCATTAACATGGGAAACACGCGCAAAGCGCGTACCCTAAGATTAGTAATTTTATAAACCTAGACCACTCTTTATGCATGGGGTCCTAAAAATGGCTAAACTTTAAAATTTTTGTAAGCTTCGACTACTCTTTAAACATGGTGTCCTAAAAATGGCTATATGTGCACTTGTCCCCGTTTAAAGCCACTTTTCCAATATACAGGCCTGAATAAAAGATCCATCCGTTGATGTAGAATCCAGCCCAGATTTCCTCTGGCAGTTATGGCGCACGAATTCAATATTTGGACCCAAAACATCTAAAACGACAGCACTGTCGATTGCGCGACCATCACTCTTCCTCGGCCGCGAAATTCTTGTGATCTCCTTCTCCGGCGAACTTCTTGCGATCTCCTTCTCCGGCGAACTTCTTGCGATCTTCTTCTCCGGCAAATATAGTTTGTACGCTCCTCTATTTTCTATTCTCATTCTATATCTCCATTCTTTTCTAACTTCCAGCTACATGTTTCTCATGTGACCAAAAAACCCTACTTTCTGTTTCATATGATTTGTAATACTAGAATAGAAATTGTATGGTTTGAATTGCTTCGTGTTAGCTCCAGCTGTACTAAATAAAGGCTCAAAATTCGATCTTTGTTGCTCTTTGTTTTGCTTGCATGTTAATTTGCATTTTCATTTGTTTTCATGTGACAATTGCTACAAAGTTGTGACCTTTTACTGATCTGCTCCTAAATATTTGTAATCAATTTTATGAATATTACTCTCGCGAAAGGTCAAAGTGAAGAAGTCCTTAAAATATGAATTGTTAAAATATGTCTTCTAACGTTTGCTAAATCCTTCAAATGTTGACCACCATTTTATATGTCGATATTTGACTGGTGTCTAAATGTTGAATTGGCTTTTACATTATATTTGTGATACTGTGATAGTGGAAATAATATTGAAGTATTGGTTGAAAAGTTAGGTTAGATAGAATAAACATCGCGCCTTTATTTTCAGTACTTGAAAGTTGTGAAAGAGTATCATATAATTTGGACAGAGGGAATTATCACCAACTATTTATAATTTGTGTCTTGAAGTATGAGGGTTGAGGGCATTGAATGAACATTTACCTATCTTTCCAATTACCCACACCACATATTTCAGACTTCAGAGTTCCACCTTTCATTATTTAAGTTATCAAGATCAACTGATCTAAGATACCACTTAAATCCAAAACAGACTGGCCAATCAAAATTTGCAGTTAAGATAGAAGTTCATTGCAATTAGTGCATGAAGTGTCACATATCCCTTTTTCTTGAGCTCGGGGTCAAACATGTGCAGGGTTGCCGTACGTTGATTTTCCATTTTGAAATTTACATATCTCTTTTTTATAAATTTTTCTTCATAACTTGTGGTTTGTGGCTCCCGGATTAAGACTCAATATCTAGTCAATCAACCGCTCTCATTGTCAATCCACCTTATGTATAATGCGCTTGAATGAAAGTTGGAGGATTTTAAATAACTGATTCACTCTGGCTTGTTGTTGTTAGTGATCCACCAGGTGCTCTCATTAAAAGTTTCTGCATATCTAAATGGACGCAAGTTCAACTGAAGCTTCTGTTACGAAGAGTGCAGAATTGTTATTAAACAGGAAAAGAAAAAGGGCGAGGAAGAAGGCTAACAGAAAAGAAAGACAGCAAAGGTTGGATCAAATGCTGCAAAATCTGGAGGCTCCTAGAAATGAAGAAAGTTCCATTGAAGACATGACTAGTCTAGAGAATTCTAGCACACAATTGCTTCCTCTAGGACATCTAGAAATACAAACGGAATCGGCCACAACTCTTTTGGAAAAGAGTGCTGGTAAGAAAAAGAGACGGAAGAAGAGAAGTGTGATGAAGGCGATGAACCAAAAGGGTGAGCCATGTAGCATGGTTCAGACCGATGTTCCCTCAAATCCAAGCCTGTCGGATAGTAAGCATGGAGAAGTAGAAAATGGCCTACTCAATCCAAACATTTCAACTCATGACTTTGTATCTTCCGAGAGGAAAGTAACTGAGGCATTGGGTATGACTGATGTAAACTTATCTCTTTCTGCTCCTTCATCTGATTTAGTGAATGAACAGGACGAGCCAGAATTGCCTAACTGTGATGATATTGCGTTATCATCAAATGTACTGAACATTTTAACTGACAATTTTCCTGCTAATATATCAGATAGGGGACTTGACTCTCTGACGGGAGTCCAGAAAAAGGAAGCGAACACAGTTGCTCAAGAAAAGAATCATGATTCTTGTGCTGAGCGAGCTAAAAAAGATAATGCTAAGGTTGCAAATGATGCAATTGAAGAAGTTTCATTATTTGAAGCTGGAAGAATTTCGGTGGAAAGCTGTAGTGAAAGGACTCAACTCACAGACAAATCAGAGTTAATCATGCATTTTCATTCAGCTCCCATTAGGCCAGGTGATTTCCGCATGATTGGAGGTCCTCGTATGAGGAGAAAACTTCTCATCCTCGATGTTAATGGGCTACTTGCAGATGTAGTCAATCCACCGCCAAAGAATTGTAATCCTGATGCATGTTTCTCAAGACGGGCAAGTGAGAATTGATAATTTGCTTTTTATTTAATTGCATTATCGATCTTTCAATCTTACTTCATTCACAAGATGAACAACGCACTGTTCTTACGTAGTACTTGTCACTTTTGTTTGCAGTATTCAAGAGACCCTACTGTGATGAATTTCTGAAATTTTGCTTTGAAAGATTTGACGTGGGCATCTGGTCTTCTAGATCCAAGTAATCGTTGATTTTGAAGTGCTTATTTGAATTTCTGTCATCTTCCTGACTTGACCTTTTATATTTTAGCCCGGTTAATGATACAGGTTTTTCTAATGCATTTTATGGTTTACTTGAGCATTAACTGGAATACATGTTTGTGCAGGAAGATCATTGTGAAAGTGGTGGATTATTTGTTGGGAAACATGAAGCATAAGTTGTTATTTTGTTGGGTAAGCGTTCTTCCTTCTACAAATAGTTCCATATTCCTCCTCCTAGTTGCACCTTTTTTTTTATGAAGTAAGTGGTGTATTAATAACAAAAGCATCCAGTGGATGCACACATTACAAAATAAAAGAAGATATCAGCTCCTAAGCAAAGCAAAAAAATCTATCATGAGGCCAGAGAGCTGATAAATTCCATGAATTGGTCAGGGTTCTACATAGGGGAGAGTTTAACCCAACAAAAAAGAGTGACCAACCATCTAGCCTTGAGTAGGTATCTAGCAGTTGAGATGCCATCAACGCATCTTTGATTCCTTTCTGTCCATAAGCACCACAAAATAGCAGGAACCATACACCAGATTTTCTTGATGGACTTCTCAACTTTCCATGAACTCCAACTCACAAAAACTTCCTTGACACTGCATGGCATTGTCCAACGCAATCCAAAAAGTGAAAGAAACATGGACCATATGTCTGTTGCAACTGGACAGTGAAGAAATAAATGGCTGATTGTTTCAGAGTTGCTTTGGCACATATGGCATCTGCTAGCAAGCTGAAAACCCCTTCGGATGAGATTGTCATGGGTTAGGCATGCTTCATTTAGGGTTATCCTGCAAAAAGCACTGACCTTTGGAGGCATTTTAGTCCTCCAAATTAGTTTCCGGGGCCACTGATCAATCATTTCCTTCCTGGAGCCTAAGGTTTGATAGCTAGCTCTGACTGAGTATGCACCACTCCTACTGCTGCCCCATCTGAGTTTATCCCTACCTAGAGTAATGGTTGAACTATTGTGGAGGCTGCCAAGAAGTGCTACCAAGTCATCAAACTCCCAGTCATTCAGATTTCTTCTTAAGCTTGGATTCCATGAGTTAACCTCCCAATTCTGCACAACTGTAGAGTTTGGGTTAGTAGCAATAGAAAATAGTCTTGAATAAGCATCCTTCGGTGTTGTATGGCCTAACCACTTATCTTTCTAGAATAAGATATGTTCCCCATTTCCCACCTGAAGGGTTGAATCAATAGTGAAGAAATCCCACAGCCCGTCCACAGCCCACATCCATAGTTAGATCTAACAGTACACCAGTGATTTTGACAACCATACTTAGCTTGAACCAACCTCCTTCCAGAGACCAACTCCTTCTCGATTATACCTCCAATGCTATTTCATTAGCATGCTCTTGCCATGTAAAGCCAAGTCCTTTACCCCTAGACCTCCAAGTGATTTAGGAAGTGTTACTTTGGCCCATTTGACAAGGTGAAATTTATGGTTCTTGTTGTTGCCTTCCCACAAGAATGAACATCTAAGTTTATCTAGCTGCTTTTGAACTTTGACAGGAATTGGAAAGAGGGACATAAAATAGGTTGGTATGTTGTCCAACACATTGTTTATGAGGGTTAGTCTGCTGCCAAGAGAAAGATATTGTTGCTGCCAGGACGCCAGTCTTTTCTCAAAATTTTCAATGACCACATTCTATATCTCAGTTGATCTGTGCCTAGCATCCAATGGAAGGCCTAAGTAGGTGGTAGGGAATGAACCTGTACTGCAACACATTATATCAGCCAACATCTCTAGTTCTGGGACCACATTTACAGGGTAAATGACACTTTTTGACATGTTAATGTGCAGCCCTGACAAAGCTTCAAAAATCAACAGAGTAAGATTGATATATTCAACTTGAGACTTCTCAGCACCACAGAGAATGAGGGTGTCATCAGCAAACAATAAGTGAGACACTGAAACTGTTAAGCCGGAGTTGTTGCCAACATCAAAACCCTACATCCAATGCATTAGCTTTGCTTTTTCCAGCATTCTGCTAAGTTCCTCCATCGCTAGAATGAATAAGAAAGGGGACAAGGGATCCCCTTGTCTCATCCCTCTCTCAGGGGAGAAAAAGCCAACAGGGCTTCTGTTAACAAGAACAAAATATTTGACTGTGGTGAAGGTATATCTAATTCATCTGATCCATTTTTCACAAAATCTCATCTGCCTTAAAATTGAATTGAGATACTGCCAATTGATTTTGTCAAAGGCCTTCTCTATATCAAGCTTAAAGAGCACACTAGGTCCATTTTTTTGCCTCCAATCCAAGATTTCATTAGCAATTAGTGCAGTATCTGTAATCTGTCTGCCTTTAATAAAAGCATTCCGGTAGCCAGAGACCAACTTCCCGATCACCTTTTTAAGTCTCTTGGTCAGCACTTTTGCCACGATCTTGTAGACTCTACTAGTAAGACTAATAGGTCTGAAATTTTTGAGTTCAATTGCTCCTTTCCTTTCAGGGATGAGTGCAATAAAAGAGGCATTAAATGACTTAACCATGTGACAGTTTCTATGGAAGTGGTTGAAAGTCCCCATGACATCTAGTTTTACTAGTATCCCAACATCTTTGATAAAAAGCCAATGTAAAACCATCAGGCCAGGGCTTTTGTCAGGTGCACAAGAGTTGATAGCATCTAGAACTTCCTCCTCTTCAAAAGCAACTTCCATGGCATCCTTCTCCTCATTGTTCAAACAACCCAAGCCTTCAAAAGTACAACTAGGTCTCCAAGTTTCATTCTCAGAGTATAGATCTTGATAAAAATCTAATATCACCCTTTTAATCTGTTCCTTTTCTTCGATGATATCCTCTCCCACTTGTAGTCTGTCAATGCAGTTATACCTCCTGTGAGAATTGGCTACCTTTTGAAAGTATTTTGTATGTCTGTCACCCTCTTTCAACCACAAGCATCTTGACTTTTGTCTCCATGATATTTCTACAACCTTGGCTAATTTTAGTAACTCCATTTTTAGCTGAAGGATTTTATTTGTTTCAGCTTGAGTCTGCAGTCTTCCTTCAGATGCTTGTTCCATTAATAATAGTTCTTCCATAGCTTTGTTGGTTCTGGTGCTAATTCTACCATATGACTCCCTGTTCCAGATTGCTAAATCCTTCTTTAGAAGTTTCAGCTTTTGGGATAGTACAAAGTCAGGGGAGCCATTTACCACATAACCCTGCCACCATTGTTTGATCATATCACAAAACCCTTCATGTTGTAGCCACATGTTTTCGAATTTAAAATAAGAAGGTTCAGAAGTCCAATCTCCACTTTCCAAGGAATAGGCCTATGATCAGAAACAACTCTAGGAAGGGCTAGTTGTTGAACTGAACCAAAGAGATCATTCCATTCAGAAGAGATCAAAAACCTGTCAATTCTTGATACCTGTAAAGAATTTTCACCCCTAGCCCAAGTGTAAAAAGCTCCCTGTAAAGGGAGATCCACCAAGCCCATATCTTGAATGAATCAGAAAATATTTTCATAGCCTTTGCTTCTTATACAATTAAACCTTTCATTCTCAAAACGGCATACATTAAAATCTCCCCCAATAATCCAATTATCATTTCATAAACCCCTTACAACAGCTAGTTCTTCCCAAAATTCAATCCTCTCCCAGTTAGTATGAGGATGATATACTCCTGTGAAGCACAATCTGAGATCAATCTGAACCTCTTCAAGCATTGTAGAGATAGAATACTTCCCTTGCAAAGAGTCAATGCAATTCCACTGTCTTTTATCCCATAGAAATATTACCCCTCCTCTGTTGCCGCTAGCCTTCAACTCAGTCCACTCGACCCATCTCGAGCCCCAAATCTGCCTGGCTATAGCCACAGAATAAGTTTCAGTCTTGGTTTCTTGCAAACACAAAATGTCAGGTTTCCACTTTTGAATAAGTGCCTTAATAGTGCTTCGCTTGCTCTCATCATTGAGCCCCCTTATATTCCAGCTAATAATTTTTGCTTTCATTCTAAAAAGCTTTGTGAAACCTGCTCCTGTCAGACCCTTCACCCTTTTCACATGTAAGTGTGCATTCCAGCACCCTTGCTTCTCTTTCCCCCTTGTTCTTTGGTTTCTTCCCCTCACTTCTTTTTCCCTTTTGCAACTGTATTTGTGATTGCCTCTTTTGCTCCATTCTGAGGATCATATCAAAAATTTCATGTTCAAATCCAACTGAGTTAACTCCTAAAGCCTTGCATGCTTTGGTCATAGCAACCTTGGTCCAATGAGAGGTCTCAATAACCATTAAGCAAAAGAGAAGCAAAGAATAAGGAGTATGATTTTTCCTACCACTTTCTTTCTTTGCCTGGGGAAAACATCAATTTCCTGTGTGATCTTTTGGCCATTTCCTACACTGATGCATAAGGAATTCTTTGTGGTCAGCCAGATTGTCAGGACTCTGATGGGTCACTGTGATTTTAAAAAGCCTTCACGAACATGGGAATAACAGTATCAACTGTATGAACACATGGGCTGTTTTTCCCCCTTTTGGAACTGATTTTTCCCCTTTTGGAAAAGAAAAAAAGGGGGAGGGAAAATTATATTTGACTTCCTTCTCGTGACTATATTGATCCTACTTCATTTATACTTTACCGGTTATGTAGCTTGACTGTGCCCTTGTCTTGGCAAAGATAGCAAATTGTGAAAGAAGCCACCTTTATTGTAATATAGGAGAGGGGGTTGCTGGTGAAAATTTACCTTCCTATGTTGCATTAACTTTCTTAACTAAAGTTTAGTTCATTCTTTTCTTTTCTCTCAGCCCTGCCATTAAGAAAGGTAAAAGAAAAGACAAAGAAGGAAAAATGAGACTGCAGTCACAGGATGATGCTTCCCTGTGACTGTTGATGTGTATATGTGTGTGTGTGTGTTTATATTGTTTGGTATATTTCCTTTACTGTTGGTTCCTTCCCTCTTAGAAGAATAAGCAGTTTCTATTTACTAAATTTCGCAGGATATGTCACATAGCACTCAGACAATGTTCAAGACACTTGATAACAAGCATAAGCCCTTGGTTTGCAAGGAGCTGAGCAAGGTGTGGGACAGATATGATCCGAATCTACCCTGGGAAAGAGGGGATTATGATGAATCAAATACTTTACTATTGGATGATTCTCCGTACAAGGCCTTGCTAAATCCTGTAAGCTTGACACCACCCTCTTTTTGGCCTCAAGACTAACGCTCAAATGACCCCTTCTGACTTGGTATTTCTTCTCGTGAATGTAACTACTTTATGCATGACCTTCCTCAGGCGCACACTGCGATATTTCCTCATTCTTACAACTTCAAGGCCGAGAATGATGATTCACTAGGTGAGACCCCTATGGTACTGCTTAATACTTGATAATTGTTTTCCTTTTCATGTTTGATGTGCGCCTTTTAGTGGCTATTAGAACTGATTCCCACCATCTAATAGTGTGAGCCGCAGTGGGTTTAGACACACTTGCCGCTTGATTTCTTTCCTTGTTTGATTATTTTACGTGTGATGCATATGAGCAACATGCGAAGTTAGATTAACATATGCAAGCAACAATCTGCTAGTGGTGATTCATTTGCTATGATTACTAGTATTACTAAAAGCCATCACTCTTAAAGCAATGAAGCGAGGGGTTATCGCTTCATTGATGAAGCCATGTGCTTCAAAGAAGTGTGCGATTGCAAAGTTATCCAAATGAAAAGCGGCGTTTCTTTTTTATCAGCAAAAGATAATTATTAAAAAAAAATGTTAGGCAAGTGTTTGCATAATTTGTTACTTTGGTGCAAGAGTAGTCTAATTGATAGTATTGATCACTACTTGGACTTCCTGGAGTTGTTAGGAAAATGTTGTAACTAACTGCATGGATATTCCCTGCAGTATTTTGTTTCTTTTTGGTACCATCTTGATACTTCGTTAATAAACCTTTACCTTATCAAGAAAAAAATGTTAGGCTGTACCAAGATAGTACTGAAGCATTACAAAAGGTGTAAAAAGCGGCGGTTCTTTAGATCTCAACTTTGAGGAGTTGGATTAATATTGGTATTATGGTATATTGGATGCTGAAATTAGTTCGGCCAAATACGTAGATGATCCTTTAAAGTTTTTTTTTTTGAGATGGTTTAAAGTTGTCACCACTTTTCATAGACACCTCAATTGAGGCCTTTATCTATTGAACACCTGAGTTTGGCAGATCAAACACGATAACATGGGAAAAAGAAACCAATAACACGACACTTGGCTTTAACCCAAATTTTTTAAAATAAGGAACCAAGGGAAACAGAACAACCTAGTGGAACCATTTTTTTTCTTGATAAGGCCCATTGGAACCATTTTGATTCATCATTACTTCATTAGTGATCACAACAAGCCACCAACTGTCTTCTTCACTCTGCATCTCCACCACCACCTCTGTGAGACCTACTCCATCCACTACCATCTACTACCTTTTGTTTTCTTTTTCAGACCTTTTCACAAGTACCTAACATGCATTCATTTTCAAACCTTTTCACAAGTACCTAACATGCATTCATTTTCAAACCTCCAATATTCTTCCTCCTGAACAGCCTGTCACTGCTATAGTCGCACCAGTCAACAACTTTATTCTTTAAATCTCCACCTTCACCTGTAACCTCAATAAGCTCCATTTCAACTCCATGATTTCACTCGAAATACCACCATTGCTGCGCACAGACCACAACTGTGCACTATCGCATCTCTGTATTATTATATCTTACTAGTTTCTTATAGCGAGGTTGTCTTTGTTTCCAAGAATTTGAGGAGTTATATTTACAAAGTTAATAGCTTTCAGTCAATTTTTGCAATTAGGAGTTCTTTTGAGTTATGGGCTTTTCATAGGACATGAGTTTTTCAAAGAAGCACCAAATGCTATGAAACAAAGTGGTGAAGTAGGTAATTGTTGGAACTACTATTCTAGCTCCTTTCATCAATTTCTACAAAACAAAAAGAGGAGTCTGAACTAGTGAACATGATGAAAAGTGTTCAACAACTCTAACAGCGAGAGATCCAAGGATACCATAAAGATTTTTGTGCCCACCAGCACCGAGGGATTGGAAGACAAATCTGCTCCACCGTTGCCCATGGCCAATTAGTTGTCTCAATTGCTATTTATTATAGTACTAAATTCATGTATGTTTGGCAATTTTCTTATTTTTCATATATTGTGCGCTTCTCATGTCTCACTTCAAGCATCATGGACCTTTGCACCTTTTGCTTTTAAAAACACTGATAATTGTTCAAATGAGTTTTTCTTAGAAACTTCTAATATATGTTGGTATAAAATTGTGGAGATTTTGAAGATTGAAAAGTTGCACAATTTTGTAGGCCCTGGAGGTGATTTGCGAATTTATTTGGAAGGGTTATTAAAAGCCGAACATGTACAGAAGTACGTAGAGCAACATCCATTTGGTCAGCGGGCAATCGATGATACAAGCTCAGATTGGAATTTTTACTCTGATGTTCTTTGCAGTCTGCTTGGTCAATCAAGCTAAAATTCTTGATATGCTCTTGTATAATTTGCATGCGAGAGAGACATACTGTGATGCCAGACACCATAAGAACAGAGGCTTGCTTTCGGACTTTTGACAATTTAAAAACAGATAACTGGTCCGAGCTGTGTAGCAATCACAATAATGTGGAATGTGGTGGAGTTTCTTTGAACTCATCGACGGCCTTCCTTTAGGAGTTGATTGATTATTTGCCTGCTATTTTTTAACAGTATCGTGTTAACTTTCTTCATTTTCTTCCTCTCCCTCCTTTTTGGGGAACGTTTAGTTGCTCAGGCTTCTTTCTCCTGTTGATTATGTAATATATCTGCTTACTTTCATGATCCCTCTGTCTGCTTTCAGGGTAATGATGCTTTTGTAGCTTAGGCTTTCCTTTAGCAGCTTGGTTGGATAGTTGTTACCCTGTATTATATTGTATTGGTACTCTAAATTCAATAGTTTGGGTTGTTACTTAAATATTATTTATCTTATATTGTTAAATCTTTTTTTTTATGTAACGATGAAAAGAGTCAATTTGGTACATGCGTTATGCGTGAAAACTGCGTCTATTAATAATAAAAATGTATATAACAAGAATAAATTATGTATAATAGCAGTTGGCGTTTAAATAGATCCAACATGCATATATTGGTCAAACATGAACAATTTAATTAGTTAAGTTAGTCTTATAGTATTTGTATATATTGTATTAGTATATGATATAAGCATACACTAATGCTTGTATTATGGTAGGCTATTTATATTATATCCTTGGAGTGCGGCTCTTCTCGAGCAAATCTTGTATGAATGTGGAATATCTTATGCACCAGCCCTCTATAAATAAAAGCATGTTATGTTATTGTATCCTTTTTACAAACGACGTTCTTGGCGTATGTTATCTAGCCACTTTTTTCCTTATCACCCCTTTTAATCTAGTTGATGGACCTCAGGAGGTTTATTGAAATAGCCTGTTAATTTGATATGTGCAAAACCATGCATGTGTCCCATATTTATTGTGTTTCAAATCAAAAGGACTGAACGAATAGAATAAATATTATATAAGCTAAAGCAGTTAAAGTAGCCTATAATTCAAATATATTGATATTTTGAAAAACCTTAATCTCAGAGCTCAAAGAGTTAAAAAGGAAAAAAACGCAGCTACACTTTAACAAAGGCATATAACTTTCAAAAAGTGATAAAGTCTTTTGGTGTGCAATACAATTAAGGATTTTTTCGTTCCTATACACTATTTGAAACTTTATTACAAAAAATGTCCACGTTTTGTTTTTACCCCGACCTAAACAAGTTTCAGCTACAAAAAATATACATTTATTTAAACTAGACTCCTTTCTGCGGTAGCCTTCCTTATTTAGACGCGGGATTTTGGGATCGCGTATATTTCAATTGGAGATTTTACTGACGCAATCATCGCACCTTAATCAAGCCAACGTATTTGTTGAATCCTGCTATTACGCCAATTTTCTCTGATTATTATCGCACCATAATCAAGTTCTATTCTCTGGTTTTCTCTGGTTTTTCATAAACGAAGGTTTTGAAAATAAATTTGCAAACAATTAGCTACAATTGTATTGAATTTCGCGACATAATGTCAAAATCAGCGATTATGCTTCAGCTAAATGGTTGCTGGGATAGCGTTGGGAGGTACAAAGATTTTGATGTTGATAGAATTGTAGTCAATGAAGATTCAAATTATAGTCAATTAAATTCCGCAATTGTAGAGCATCTAATGATTGATAGCTCCGCAAAAATCATCAAAATCAAATACACTATCAACGAACATTGTCCTCCAATGAAAATTCAGAACGATATGGGAGTTCGAGTGTATATGGAGATGAAAAAGGAAAACAAAAACTTAGGAATGATCCGCTGTGTATGCATGATTTTGATTTGGAATGCAATATCTCTAATTCGAGCACAATTGCAGGTTTGCTCTGTTTTTCAGTGCTGATGTTTTTTCAATTTCAAATGTTCTACAATTTTACTACAAATTATCTATAATAATACTACATAACAAATGTAGTTCAGCTGTTATGTCTCTACAAGTATTTAGTCAAATACTGAACACATGAATATACTAAGGTCTGAATTACTATACTTTTAATTGAGTGTATGTTCATCTGATTATCGTATGTCTAACATGGTACAATTGTCAAGCAATTGTAACACAATTGGAGAAGTGTCAAGAGCAAAGAAGTTGATTTATAGGCCAACATCTCCGACGATTGTGAAATATGAAAGTATCATCATAACAGAATATACGCCAAATGTTATTGAAGTAGGCCAAGTTTATCAAGACAAGCAAACAATTGTCTGTGCAATGATGCACTGTTCTATCATGAATAAGTTTCAATTTAGAGTGAAAATGTCTAGTGCGAGAAGGTAGGAACATTTTATTTGCCAAATTCATATTGTGTATAAGTTGTAGTTTTTTGTATATAAATTGTATATAAATTATTTAATATAAGTTTTTGTGCATAAACAACCTCGTATTTTGTAGCTACAATTTGCATAACATTTTTTGAATTGTTTTTATTCTATAGCTACTGCCTCGTATGTGTTGGAGACAATTGTACGTGGCACTTCAAGTCCACAAGTATAAGAAAATCAGCATTGTTCAAGGTTCAAAAATTCAACAGCTTGCACACATGCTCTTTGATGGACAACACATACATACAACACAAACCTACTGCCATGGTAGTTGGCAGCATGGTGATGCCAAAATATGTGGATCCTAAGACAATATACACACACCAAAGACATACAAACTGATATGTTGTCGGATCATGGTGTGAACTTAACATACATGCAAGTTTGGAGAGCAAAGGAAAAGGTTTTGGAATTTTTGAGAGGTCATCCTGCTGATTCCTACAGTCGCTTGCCGAGTTATTTGTATATTCTGAAGAAGACTTATCCGGGGTCGATAGTGAAATTGCAGAAGACTGAAGATGACTGTTTCTTGTATGCATTTGTTGCGGTTAGTTCGCCCATCAAGGGATGGGAGCATTGTAGGCTAGTTATAGTAGTGGATGACACCTTCTTGAAGTCGGCATAAAGGGGAATCATGCTAACAACTAGCACAATGGATACAGCATGTAATGTAGATTAATTGAAAAAATATTATTAAAAAGTTGTTTTTGAGACTGTATATTTTATAATCTCAAGTTTTGTTACAGAAATTGAATTTATTTTTGCCACTTGTGTGATAGGTAACACATTACCACTAGCATACGCCGTTGATGATTCAGAAAATGAAGCATCATGGAGGTGGTTTTTTGAGCAATTCAAACATGCATATGGTGAAAAACTAATTATGTGTGTTGTTTCGGACCGGAATGAGAGTATCTTGAAGGCAACATCTACTGTTTATACCGGCACACCACTTTATGCTTGCATGTGGCATATTTGGACAAATGTAAGGTCAAAGTTCAAAGAAGGATCATCTAAAGTTAAGTGAATTATACTTTGCCACAACATGATCATACACACTTAATGAATTTAATGAAAGAATGTCAAAGATTGAAGAGATCGACATGTGTGTTAAAAGCATAGCTATACGATATTGGCTATTACAGATGGTCTCGGATACATGCTACGGTAAACAGAACGTGGACGATGACATCAAACATTGCAGAGTCATTAAATGCAAAGGGTACGCTCACATACCTTGGGAAAAAATACAACAAAGAGTTGGAGGACAACATGACATTATCATGAGAGTAAGCTATAACCAATAACACTAGATCATTGGTTCCATCAAACTAAATATATACCGTTAATTATAGAAAAGTTGTTGTATAATTTGTAGTTATTTTATTTTGTATCTGTTGCTGACAACTTGTTGTGTGTTTGTAATGAAATTGTAGGTGAGGGCTTCAACATATTACATTCATACTGTTATAGATGGTGTGAAGCGCTTCATTATTTGCCTTCAAAATAAGAGATATATTTGTGGACAATTTCAGCTTGATGAACTTCCTTGTGCACATGCATTGGCGGCTTTGTGGCACATGAACGAGTCGTAAAAAACTATTGTTCTCCTTATTACACGAGGGAGAGTCTTTTGCAGACTTATGAAATACCAGTAGACCCGCTGCCTGACGAAAGCAAATGGAATGTGCCACAATATATAGCTGAAGAAGTTGTAATGCCACCCACTGGGAAAAGACATCTAGGGAGACCTCAAAAACAAAGATACAAACCGTATGATGAAGTAAATGCAAAGAAGTACAAGGTTTCATGTGGAAACTGCGGAATAGAAGGGCACAACAAAAGATCTTGTAGGAATTCTCTCAAAAGGAAATAAAAATTGATACAATTTAAAGATTTTTTTCCTGAGTACTGTTGATGATAATCTATCCTTTAAGACATATGAAGTTGTATTTGTTCTGTTCTGGAGAATTATAGTTGTGGTGTAATTGTGTTGCTAATTTGAATAAAGATTGTCTCCTGTAATGAATGTTTGATAAACAGATTTCAACTCTTAATGCAATTGGTTTGTAGTTGTTTTGTTCAAATACTATATTTATTTATTACTTTTCAGCATTTCGTAACAATACTGCTTAAATTGAATAGATTATGTACTTTTGTATAGTAGTTGTAGACATAATTGTAGTTAAGTGATGATGTTCAAATCTACTACTAAAAAGTAAATGGTTACAATCATATACAATATAATTTACCCAACTATGAGTCGGGGTCGAATCCCACAGAGAACAATATATAGGTGATTAGGCGTGTACGAAAATTATCACTTATTATGCTAAGCCAAACACTTCGAAAAGTTTTGAGAAAATATTTATCACTAAATGCGAAAATGTAAAGTAACCTAGAAATCAAGTAAAATGATCAATGGCTACAAGTATGGATGCATGAAGAATTACACTCAAGTAACGATCCAATGTATTTCACGATTTAACAAATATGAGCGAGTTTATGTTAATTAGCCTCGGGTAATAATTCTATATTAGCTTCTTCCAAAGACTAACAAGACTTCCTAATTGAATTATCCCTAAAACAATTAAGAGATTAAGCACACCTGATTATGGCTACAAGTAGTTCAATCCTATCCCTAGGTAGAATCTATAAAATGAGGGTTAGAGCCTCAAGTTCTTGTTAATTAATCTTTTCCAACCCCAAATTATCTTTCCCAAAATTAATTCGAAGTTAATGGGCGAGTCCTAGGGTTAGCTAATCCCTTTGGAAACATTAAAGAACAAGAATAATNTTAGCTAATCCCTTTGAAAACATTAAAGAACAAGAATAATAATTAAAGAAACAATAACTCACTTCATAATAAATGAAAATCGTTCAATACACACAACAAGATATTTAATCCACATTTTAAATATGAATATTCCCATAAACAAGATAAGTGTTGGAATAAATACTACACACTTAGATATACAATATAAAGCAAAAAAAATGAAGAAATGAACATAAATGGGTAAGAAATTCTCAACCAAAAACTTCA